GAGTATCATGTTTCGTTACAAATAACTGTCCTCACCGTCGTCTCCGCTTTAATACGTTCCCTGTGCATGCATCATTATGTAGCGCATGTCGAGGTATATGCGATATCTATTTAGGCATTTTTTTGACGACAACAGCGTTTGATACTGGAATATTGTAAAGGAGTTAATTTTTTTTAAATTATTATTATTTCATGATTATTTGCAATAATAGTCTATCGTATAGTTTTCATAAGTTACAATATTGGCAGCTTCGATTTGCAAAATTCTGTATCCTAATGTGTGTACGTTTAATAGGGTGATGATGGTGAGCAATGACACTTCAAGTCCATAAGGTAAATGCACATATATGACCAGCCCGTTGAACGTTAGCTGAGCGAGAGACGCGAGCGTTCGTGTTCCCTCTTCCGCGCGCCCCGCAACATTCCATTGCGCCGGCGACGGCTGCCGATGATACCCGAAAAAAAGGCGAAGCGTGAACATAATGTAATATGTATCATCAGTAGGGTCTTATTTTAAAAGGATGCTATTGATTCGACTTCACCCTGTATATAGGTACCTATACATTATATACACATATACATATATTAAATAAATCCCCTTAATATTATATTCTATATATTCTAATAAAGATAGAGAAAATAGGAAGAGGGTTTATGGAAATGATTTTTCTAACCATAAATGCATTAATATTTATACACCATTTTAACGTATCTGCACAAAAACTTGCACGTAAGGGGTCAATTTCTGATTTCCAATTATACAGGTAACGTCTAATACTGCCTAGTGTAACATTCCGTCTGTCGCTAGTAAGACCTGCTGTTATTACCTGTCCCTAGAATGTTGTGTTTTGCGAATGTGGTGTTTAGCGAATATGGTGTTTTAAGAATGTAATATCTTGAGAATGTGGTATCTTGCGAAAACGATATTTTGTGAACATGATATCTTGCGAATATCATGTTTTGCGAACTTGATATTTTGCGAATATGATAGAATTCTCGGAGCGGTTTTCAACTGCGTCCGCTACGGCTGTAGCACAGCTGTTTTATTTCAATACTCATGACACCGCAGGTTTGTTTGGTCACGCACGTAACCGCCGAGGCCGAACAGACCGCAAACTTGCGGGAGATGATCGCAAGTCGGCGGTTATTTACAATATATCGAGATTGTCAGTTAAGTCCCAGAGATCGTCTTTGTACACACCAGAAATGAGCTAACGCGTTACACTTACTTCATCGATGGATTAAAAGAAGAAGGCCTAAAAGATTCTGGGTGCATCAAGAAATAAATAGTTACTAAAAACATGAAGAAACGCGCCGCCGGCGCACCGATAGCAGAGTGCGCGGCTGACCGCGCTTACCGCGCGTTTCGTCTAGTGCTAAAATTTCATCCCGGGAATCTTGGTCTCGACAATTTCGAGTCTCGAGAAGTTTTTGTCATTTTTGACATTGATGTTTTCAGTGTCGGGAATATCGAGAGTTTAGAGACTAACGCTAAGAACTCACGGAGCGATTTTTACCCGCGCCCGCCGTGTTTGCGGGACCGCGGCCTCCGTAGAATGTATGTAAAATTTTATAGCACATTTCATGACGCGTTTTACGCCTGTGGCAGTGCGGTAGCCGCAGCGTCTGCGGGGTACTAGAAGAACCGCCCGGGACGCGGTCACCCGCGCGTTTGGCGGTCGTCGCGTCGTCGCCCGCGTACTCTGCGTTCGATTCACCCTCGACAATCTCTATCGATCGTAAATAACCGCGCGACGCGATCATCTCCCGCCAAGATTTCGGGCCGTTCCGCAACCGCGGCGGCTACTTGACTGCACAAACCTGCGGTGTCGTGAGTATTGAAATAAAACGGCTGTCCTGCGCCGCGGCGGGCACGGGTGGAAACCGCTCCGTGAGTTCTTAGCCTAAGTCATTTAATTAATAGTGTTTTATGCGATCGTTTCATAATGAGGGTTCTTAAAGTCAAGTACCGTGTATAAAACTAATAAGTAGGTGTTTAATAATATTTAAATATTATTTTGTTACCAATCCTCGGCAACAAACTCAAACGAAAGTCAAACAAACGCTCAAACAAAACAAAACACCAAATATATAGAATAGACGTGTCCGAGATTGGCCAAGTACCGCTTATATTTTAACCAATCAGTAGTAGTAACCAGTAGTAGCGTCATGTTTGATATTTTATATTGTTTTTAAATATTTTAAAATTTGGAATATATTTAAGTCGCTGGAGTTGGTAAATCTCATAGCAATAATTCTTCTCCAAATCTGAACCTCGATAACCTTAAAAATCATATTTCATCTGCGCCTGTCTTTGACTGTACAGTCAAGGGCAACACCTTGCAATATCTTTCTTCATTGCCAACTCCTGACTATTCTTCTTTTATTCTTAATCAATTTACTGACTATGATGTTAAAGAAACGTTTTAGCTATCGCCTCCAATGCTGTAGGTAGTGATTGCATTAGTCGTAGACCTTGCTCAGGTCGTCCGTCCATCTTGCCGCAGGACGTCCCACACTACGTTTTCGTTGACGTGGTCGTCATCCCAGAACAAATCAGTATTCCGAAATGACATTTTCCAGAAATAACGTTTGCTCGAATTTTCATAACATAAAATTACTTTCCAATTTTGAGACGAAAATGTTTTTTTCTTTTAAACCTAACTTAACCTAACCCTTTTTTTATTACCGTGAGGAAAATGCGTTACGCATTGCCCGCCGCTGGGAGACGGCGGCGATATGTGGGACTCTCTTCTGGGGACTATGTCGGTCCCCAAGAGCATACCCACTAAAAACCTCACGATGTTCCTGCGCGCACCTGGCGCCGGAGCCGCGGGGTTCCTTTCAGATGCTACCGCGACTCCGGTGGTGCCGGTCCGCCTTTGGGCGGACCCCTACACCATCGCCCCCTTAATTATGGAGAGCGACCAGCACGGAGATGCCCCGGAACATTTGGGGCATCTACCGGCGGCGGAGGCCTGTGCAATGCAAGGGCAGGGTCTCCCAACCGCGCACCCTGCTGGCCACCGCTGATGGGACGCAGGCGGACGGCGAAGAGCCGTCGCGTGCGTCCTCTCCGCCGACGCCGAATGGGGTCCGAGAGGGCGCTGTCTGCGCGGACCCGTTCGGCCGTCTCCTTCTACGACATCACGTCCTCGCAGAAGGAGACCATCGCCTGCCATGACCAGCCATGCCAGGACGTCTCGTCCCACCACCTCTACGAGAGATCCCGGCGCTGCTGGCTCCAGGTCGGGACCACCTCTAAGGTGTGCCTCGCCGAGTCTGTAGCAGCGCCGCACTCGTGACACTCCGGGGTCACCTCCCTCCGTGCAATCTTGTGCAGGTAGTCACCGAAACAGTCGTGTCCGGTGAGTACCTGAACAAGACGATAGGTGATGGACCCGTGCCTCCTCTTCCTCCAATCGGCCAGTACAGGGAGCAGCGCCTGGACGGTGCGCTCCCCGTATCTGGCCGATCGGAGTGCCTCCTCCCACCCCGCCTGGACAGCGGTCTTGGCGGCACGCCGAACCCTCACTGGCTCCTCTAGTGTGGGGCGCTCTCCACGTGCCCTGGCTTCCGCACGGCACCTGTAAGTCTGCTCTAGGACGGACGCCTCGAGCTCCCAGGGTGCGGATCCAGCTAGAGCGCATGCCGCCGCTCCGGAAACCGTCCGGCACGCCCGAATCGCCCTCACCGCCATTAGCTTTTGCGGCCTGCGCAGAAGCGGTCTCAGTCTGGTGGTGAGGGCCTCCGCCTAGATGGGCGCCCCGTAGAGGGCCATGCTCCGTATGACGCCAGCATAAAGACGACATAGGGAGCTGGGTCCCCCCACGTTTGGCATAAGGCATATTTGGCAGCCGGTGGAAGTGCTCTTTGAAGTTCCAGCGGCTGTTCAGGGTGAGCCCAAGATACTTTATATGAGGGCTCACCCCGACCCTCCTTCCTCCCACCTCCACCCAGGAGCCGGGCGGAGGCCCTCGACGGAGGCCATAGAATGCTATAACCTCTGTTTTGTCGAAGGTGACCGTGAGCTCCAGCTCCCCAATGCGGCTGACCACTAGGGCGCTTCCCTCCGTGGCCAGTCGCGACGCCTCCCCCCAATCACGCCCCCGGGCGTAGACTAGAGTGTTGACACCGTCCTAACGGGGAGAGATCCTCGGAGCACGTAGTCGTACCCGAGGTTCCACAATAGCGGGCCCAGAACCGAGCCCTGTGGAACCCCGCGACACATGCTCCGCTCCGTCATCTCCCTGTTCCGGTCAAGGAAGGAGAGCTTCCTCCCGGTAACCTAACCTAACCGAACCTAATCGTGTCTTTGCGATAAACATCCAACATATCCTGAAACAACAACGGTTTCGTTACAATTTGGTTTTCGGTGTAATGAAAATTCGAACGAACGTTATTTCGGAAAAAAGTATTCAAGTTTGTGATAGGTTACCCTCCTGCAGACATGGCCCACTGCCACTTAAGCTTACTGATTTTACGAGCTATATCGGACACTTCAGTTCTCTGACGTATGACCTCGTTAGGGATTCGGTCCATCATAGAAACCCCAAGCATACTACTACTACTCTAATGTCTAGTGATGATAATAAATTAATCAACTAGAAGGCGCTTATTGCACAATACTTTTAAAAATTAGTAAATTATTGACTTCTGTTTCTTAACTATCACTTTTATATAACCTTGTCATTGCCTCTCTTTACCTTTGTTCCTCTTTATTTTTTTAGTAGGTATGTATGAATATTAAGAAAAACTCATGTAAGAATTTATGAAATGATGATACTTATATATTTATCAATTGTCTCTGACAGCAACAATACTTATAAACTATGAAAGTGGAATTTAATTATCGATATGTTTCATAAAAGTATGTATGTACTTATGTCCTCTTTAAGTTATAAACATTTCAAACAGAATCATTAAATATACATAAAATAAAATGTAAAAATCAAACAACATATAAAAACTTGTAAAATGGGACATATAGATAATGATATGGGTACATATTAAGTTTTGCCTAGCGTGACTGCCAGTGGAGCATTGCACAGATGAGTGTGAACAATAGAATTATTCTCGATTCACTCACAGATGAACTCCCGTTGATGTTTGTCACCTGTAAAAAAAAATTCGTTCTATAAAATATAAAACTTATTGACCTCTTTTAAGACTATCACAGTAATAGAAAAACATGCGTTAAAAGAGCTTCTCACGTCAGTGATGCCGAGTATATTACATGTGGCGTACCTCAGGGAAGTGTTCTGGGACCTACACTCTTTTTAGTCTATGTAAATGAACTCGGCAAACTGACACTTCAAAATTCTCAAATGTCTACCTATGCAGATGACACCACCATCATTGTGCATGGACATTCTTGGTCAGAGGTAAAGGAACGAGCAGAGTGTTCCGTACGGATAGTAAAGCAATGGCTCAATTCGAAATACCTAACAATAAATATGACTAAAATGTACTTTATTCCTTTTTCGATCACAACTGTCTCGAAACCACCAACCACATACTTTATAATAGCACACACCTGTGCCGACCAAAGAGTGCACCATTGCAACTATTACAAGAACAATCGTGCGACTCACGTCAAATATTTGGAAGTACAGATTGATGATCATCTGAATTGGTATACTCAATTAACGTCTCTAATCTCCAAAGTAACAAAACTTACGTATGTATTCAAACAGCTACGTGACTCTGCGGATTTATCCACTTAAAGCATGGTATACCTAACCTTATGCCAGTCGGTAATCAATTACGGTATTTCCAACAGGACCGGTGCTGCAAAGACAAGATTTCTAGAGCTGGAGCGGGCACAGAGAGTTGTCCTAAAAGTAATAAATATCCAAGCGACTCTTCAGATACCCCACTACGCAACTCAATACTGAGAATCAAGTTCTTACAGTCAGACAGCTTCTTGTGCTTAGATCCATACTGAGAGAGCATCATCTAGTTCCTCCACCGCAACCTAATCGACGTCTGAAAGAAATTTGTATGTCAAAACGAACACCACAAGACCACCTTTGGAAATAAACAGTTTTTTTTTATGTAAAGAAGGAGACAAACGAGCGGACGAGCCACTTGATGAGCTGTCAATGCGTTGCCAACCTTTGAGAACCCTGTAAACACGCTTTTTGAAGAACTCTAGATTACACGACTACTGAAGTACTACTAGATTATAATTATTAAATTATATAAAATTATGAAATTTACTTTTGATTCAAATTTGAATTTGAATTAATTTAATTTGAATTGAATTAATCTATGCCTACACACACACAATCGCGCGAAAATACACACACACATACACACACACTTACACACACACACTTACACACACACACACACACATACACACACACACACACCACATACACTCACACACTGTTTACATACACATCATGAAGATAGTGTATCTTCATTTCTTTTCTCTTGTTTACCTTACTCTGTATTAGAATTACACCTTTTAGAATTTATTTATTACACGCATAGCTTCACTATTTGTAATACCATAACCGTATATACTCACTTATGTTTACACTTTATTTTGATTTGTTTTGACTGAAGATTTGATTTTATGTAAAGGTATAATAATGTATTTATTTATATAAATATATATAAAATAATGTATTTGTTACGCCTAACTGAACACGACCTTCTAAGATACAATCTATTGACTAGTTTAGGAAACAGAATTTCTTAATAAATTTGGTACGCCTTCTTTTATATTCTGTGTTTGTGTCTCTTTATATCCACACCTATAATTTTGTATTTGCTGCTCTGTAAAAATTGTAAGGCGAAAGTGTTAATTAAGACATTTTTATTAAACTGACCGTAGTATTAAGCCAGTTACTATATCTGGCCAAACGCACGTTCACGCTGGGGTATTGTGGGTGTCCGCATTCATGTCCCCATGACATAATTCCTACCACAATATTGGCGTTGAACAACACTGGACCGCCAACATCGCCATGGCAAGCACCCGCACCTGGAACACATTTTTTAAACATGAACACGTTTGTCTTTAATAGGGCTCGTGTATGTCTGAATGCCTGAATTTAGTTATATGTAAAATATATATATACAGAGTGTTTTTTTAAATGGGACTGTATGGGGAAATCTGCAACCAAGATACAAGGAAAGTGTCTTATTCCTAATTATTTAATGATTCCTCATTAAATAATTTTTTTGTGAAAACAATTTTGGCGAGTAACAGTAGAGCTCTGAGTGGCACTGTAACTGTTATGGACAGGCGAGTAGCTTACCATCAAGCGCACGACTTGTTCATCCCGTCACCATTACGAAACCCGTAACTATTATAAAAAAAAGTAAATTTTTTGGTCAAGCGTGAGGTGTCCATAAAAATGAATAAAATTTATCAAAATTTGTTTTTAGTGCTAACCGACTCAATTTCATGACGGGGTCATTTCATTTTATGGGATAAAAAAGTCGGGACTGCCGAAGTTGGTCCAATTTAAAAAAATATTTTTCAGACAAAATGAATAAAATTGAGTAATTTTTTTTAATGCTAGTAGACTCAGTTCCTTATAAATGCGATTTCATTTTATGGGAAGAAAAATTGAGACAGCAGAAGTTGGTCAAATTTAATAAAAAACTTTTTATCATACAAAATGAATAATATTTACATAGAACTAAATGATTTGAGTGTGGGGGACAGTCTCATGATTCACTGAGCGACGAAAGTCTGACCGCAACTTTAGTAAACACAAGTTTGCGTTTTGGGCCAGATCAGTAAACTTCGAGGACTATTACAAAATAAACATTTTAAAAACCAACCACTGAGTTTAGGTTTTCGCCATTGTTACACATAGGAAATGAAACTATTTTTCCGGATTTAAATCGCGTATATTAATTATTATTTATTATACATAATTATCATATTAAAAACAAATATGTATACGCGATTTAAATCCGGAAAAATAGTTTCATTTCCTAACCAACTGTCGCCTAACAATAAAATTTGAATTATTAAAAAAACAACATTATACCCGTACAGGGGCAAGAGCACGTCAAGCTTGACACTTAAGACTTAAATCCAACTCTATGCCGCTTACTATAAAAATAGTCCAAAGTACAATGTGTCAAGCTTGTTGTGCTCTTGACTGTACCAAACGGAAACAATAGTTTTCCGCGTAATTGGAAATCTAAATAACTGATGTAACTAAATTAGTGAATATATTGTCTATTGCCACAAAAAACAAGTCTGGTCTAGGCGTGTTTCTTTCTCTTTGGTTTGGTTTCGGTTGATGTTTTACTGTGTATTATATTTACAAGGAGCTAGTTTGTCGTATAGACTCAAAGAAATTTGAAAGTATCTAAGTGTAAATAAGGGCCGAACCATTGGGCACCAGACGGCACTCACCTCCGATATCTAGCCTACCAGCGCACATCATGTTGTCATTGATAACATACCCCGCTCCGAGTTGTTGGTACCTCGAAGCGCAAATTGCCCGGTTTATCTTCATCACAACCACATGCCTCAGAACAGGCGACATTTGTGTCGAATTCACCTAGAGTATAAAATATTGGGATTAATAAAATGCAGTAGGTAAGCAAGGTAGGTTAGCAACTTTGAGACTGTTTGTGTTTTTAACTATTGAATTAAATAATGCAGATCTCGAATATTGTTGTCCATCGTTAACACGTTGTGCCATGAGTTGTAAGCGTAAATACGATTTTATAAGTAATAACGAGGCTTAAGTCAACAAGAGAGTTGACAGAGAGTTCAATTGGCATTTGGTGATGAAGCCCTATGTCGGAGCTCCGTGTATTGGTGGTTCGGTGAATTGAAATGTGGATCATCTCCATGACGATGTACGTAAAAGTCGGCCAACAACTGATTGAAACTGACAAAAAAATTACTTGTCAGCAAATTTGTACTATATTGGAGTGAGCCAGGTGCGAAAAATATTGCATGTGTATCTGAAGGTTCGGAAACTTTGCACTCGATGGATACCGCATGATTCTGCGGAATAGCAGAAACGACTGCGTATAGAGTGGTGCCGCAAAATGATAAAAAAGTTTATGGAGGACAATCATTGGCTGTGTATAATATCGTGACAGGTGACCAAACCTGGGTGTACTGCTTTGAACCGGAAAGAAAAAGCCAGTCCGCAGAGTGGGTCTTTCCTTTTGAAGATTTGCTGACGAAAGTTAAGAAAAGTCGGAGGATTGGTAAGAAAATTGTTGCTTCTTTCTTCGGCAACTCGGGACATTACACTACTGTAGCGCTTGAAGACCAAAGGACAGTAACTGCAGATTGGTATGTAAGCACCTGCTTGTCAGAGTGTTAGAAATAATTCGACTTCTTTTTATTTACAAAAATCAAAGATAATCTTAGAAGTATCCAATTTACAGGCCCGGTAGCGGCGGGGAGTGCGTTCCACGAAGCCATTGAAGAGGTCTTTACGTAAGACTGGTCTCACTGCTTTTCACAATGGGTCCAGCGAATGCATAAGTGTGTGACTAGTGAGGGCATATAATTTGAAAAACAATAAATCTATTACAAACATAATATCTGACAGTGAAGACGTATCGCCTCGCTCTTTCTGAACTTGCCGCGTGATGTTTAGAATCCGGTTTAACCTTAACCATCTCTTAAAAAAATTATCTTATATAAAAATGCATAAAATTACTAATTGCAATCAGTTAACTTTAGTTAACTAATTGATAACAAAGAGTGAATGAGCCGATTATCAAGTAATTCCTAACTCAATCTGCGTTGAGGGTGTTTCCTTCGACGTCTCCCCTTCCGGCCTTAACTCCGATATATAAATATTTAAATTTTGATCTTATAATTATGTAAGTAATATATGTAACACGTGAAAAGCAAATAGTATAAACGTAATCACTGCCGTCGTTAGTTGAAAGTGCACTTATGAAAAAAACTCAAAACCGAGAAAATAATGTTTAAAGAAATGAAATTAAAAAAATATCTACTGTTCTCTTGCGGTAACTCATACCTTATCCACTTAGGAAAAAATAAAAATAATGACAGATTAGACTTTTTTACTTATTACGGCAGTATGGATAACATATTTTTGCAAAAATATCAGATGCGCCCTTTCAACTAACGGCGGCAGAGTATCAATTGTGACTTCATACACCAAATACAAAAACTGATCAACTTACCGACGTGGCTCCCCATCCAATTTGTATCACTGGACTATTATCAGGCAAGACATCATTCTGAAATTTTCAGATATAATTTGGATATGATTTATGTCTCAAACCGATTTTTTTCATTCCACATAATGAAATAATCCCTTCATGAAACTGAGTCTATTAGCACTAAACAAAATTTATTAAATTTTATTCATTTTATGAACAAGTCACTTTACGAACAAAAAATTGACTATGCCAAAATTGTTTTCACAAAAAAAGACTTAATGGTTCCTAAGACAGTTTCCTTGTATCGTCTATGGTTTCGGATTTCCCCATACTGTCCCATTTACTAGTAACTGCCTCGGTGGCCGAACGGTTACCATGCTGGACTACCACTCAAAGGTCCCAGGTTCGATTCCCGGACCGGGAGAAATATGCGTTATTATTATTATTATTGATTGGTATAGCGTCTGGCAGGGTATGCTAGAAGACGTCGGTTCGAATCTGGCCAGATCGAAGGAATTTTTTCTGAGTGTTCGATCTTTGTATTAATAATTAGTAGTAAAATAGTAGCAGTAGAACTCCTTGTGAAAGAGTTCGTCCAGGGAAGTACTTACTGCCACCTTACCTATTTCTGCCGCCAAGCAGTAATGTCAGCATTACTGTGTTACGGTTTTGGTAAGGGTGTTGGTGAAATTACAGGCACATGAGACATATCAACTTATGTCTCAGGGTGACGGGCGCAGTGGCAGTGCCCTTCAGATCTTTGCGATTTAAAGCTCTGAGGACACTGCAATTGTTATTTAGCTTACCATCAGGCGCACGACTTGTTCATACCGTCACTTGATATTTAAAAAAAAACAAGGCAGACAGTTTTGTTTGAGAAATAAATATGGTATCCCGTGTTATACGTTCTAAGACTAAGACATCCCCCCCACGTCTCTTTCAAAAGGGTATTGAGTAAGTTGCTACTTCAAATTCCGGAACAATAATGGTTTTAAATACAAGGCCACATTAGAAACATGCAATAGTATGAACATTTGCCCGCCTGCCGAATTTTTTTTATGATATCAAGTGACGGGACGAACAAATCATGCAACTGGTGGTAAGAGACACGCCTGTCCGTGACCACCACCCAAAACTTAAAATCACAAAGATCTGAGGGGCACTGCCATTGCGCCTATCACCCTGAGACAAAGTTGACAAGTCCCATGTGCCTATAATTTTACCGGCACCCTTACCCTTCAGAACCAAAACGCAGTCATGCTCACATTACGGCGCTCTACTGCTACTAAAAGGCAGTATCCCGTGTTATGTGCTCTAAGGGTCGTATTCCAGAACTCTACACAATGCTCAAGTCAGGATTTCAGTATGGTTTAAAGCACTCGAAATCATACTCAAGTCCCTGCCATTAGGGTCGTATTTCCAGTGCTTGCGTTTTAATTGCAATCCTGACTTGAGTATTGAGTAGAATTCTAGAATACGACTCTAGGACTATCCCGCACGACTTATTCAAAGGATACCGAGTTCGATGATACTTCAAAGCCTTTATGGCTTTAAATACAAGGCCACATAGAAGGTCCCGTGTCCAAAAATAGGTCCACTATGATAATATGCAATAGTATGAACATTAGCCCGCATTTTGATCAAGGTCATTTTCGCTCGTGGAGCGGGAACAAGGTAGGTATAGTTTTTCTCAATGTCAATATGTGACTGTCTTCTGATATAACTAAAATTATTTTTACATTGCAATATTATATAATCATGTTCTGCAGTACCAAATTACCTGATAGGGTATAAAGGCTACACCGATTGTGGTGCCCAGAGTGAACTGTGTAGAAGTTCGCAAGACGGCGATGTCATTATCACGTAGGGGATTGTTATATCGCTCATGTACAGCTAGACGTAATACTGGGATACTTGTCCCGCCTGTGGACAAACATATTATTCGTTAATTTAAAAAATCAGGACAAGATTTCTCACAGATGGCGCTACGGTAAAAAAATCGGTAAAAAACAAAACCAAAGATCTGCAATAAGCACATAGAAAAATTCGTACGGTCCGCTGGTCGTTCCGTGGCTTAGTTGGCACAGCATCTAGCACGGTTTGCTAGAAGACACTGGTTCGAATCCAGCGCGATCGAAGGATTTTTTCTAAGTGTGCGATCTTTATATGAATAATTAAATCAAAAGAAATTACGTTTAATTGTATTTAAAAAAAAAATTGTACCAGAATTATTGTTAACGGTTCCAGCACGTACATTCAAATGATTGGTGCCAATTAGTTGGTTTCTGAAACAAGAAATTAATAACATTATCGGGACGTACAAATCCCACTTGGAACATATTAAGTCTTGTTTTAGGAGAAGGTTTATGCTCATCACATTGCCCCGAAGCGGGTTACGGACTAGCATTTTTTTATGATACAACTGACGGGACGAACACGTCATGCGCTTGGTGGTGAACGACACCCCTGTCTATGACAGTTGTGTCACTCAGAGCTATAAATCACAAAGATTTGAGGGGCACTACCATTGCGCCCGTTACCGATAAGTTGATGAATCCTATGTGCCCTTCAGAATCGAAACGCAGTCATGCTCACATTACCGCGTGGCGGCAGAAATAGGTAAGGTGGCAGTGCTTCCCTGGACGAAATATTTCACAAGGAACTGTACTGCTACTAAAAAGCATTCGTTTGCGATGAGTTTATTCGTTTCTGTCACCAGCGTTTTTCTTCACCGTCAAAGCAAGTAATAACATGGTTAGTACAGGAATGTGGAACTCCAACTCGTACTTTCATTCCGGGAATCTCGGTGTTCGGTGTTCTGCGTGTGTTATTCAATCTACAATGATAGAAAATGTGGCGTAAGGAAGTCGAGACACGCGGCTATAGATGGACTGTATTTAGGGCGCTAGTAATTCTTTGTCCGTGCTATTCAATCTACAATGATATATAATGCCCCGCGTGTCGGTGTTGACGTTAGCAGTCGGTGTCGCTAGAAAAAAACCCTTAGACTATGGAAACCAAAGGACATGTTATATTGACATATATAAGTCAGACGTTATATGTATATAACGCATTTAGACGTTGAAAACATGAACATTTTACTGTCTTTGTTTTACTATTGCGTGCCGTCGTAAGACAAAAGAGATAGCACTACATTGATTTATGTCAAACACGGGAATCGAAAATACGTAAGGTCATCTTAAATACCAACTGTCCTCATTTTACCATTTTTGGAGTACCCTTTGACATCCGTGTCCGGTTGTCCAAGGGAAGTACATCAAATGTCATAACCAATGTTTGGCCAAATGTTTTATTGAATTATTTATTTATGAATTGTAATAAATTTGGACAAAAATATTAACAGTGAGAACAATTAAGTATTGATTAAAATGCGTCGCTGCGGCATTGGGGTGCAGCAGTAGAAAAGGCGGAAATCAACCGAATGTTACATTACACCGGCATGTGTTTTTTTTGTCTATAATAATAATAAGAATAATAAGATAAAGAATAATAATAAATCATACAATAGCCCAAATATCTCATGTAATTAGACTCATTTAAGTAGTCTATTCATTAGTCTTGCCGAATTTTGCTTTGGTTACTTTAGATTGCCTGTTTGTTAGTATATTTTGAAGATTGTTGATAACGATTATTTTGAGTTAGTGTTGTTCTTGTAAGCAGACATATTATTGATATTCTGTTATTAAAACAATTCACTACGAGGTTTTTATTTTTTCATTATTATTATTTTTATTTTAAAAGTTTATCTACAAATGAAAAAGAAAGAAAGAGTGGTTGGAAATTTTAGGATTGCCGAACATAAACATTGGATCAAATATCACCTTCATTTGTTCGCTCCATTTTGAAGAGTAAAATTTTAATAGAACTTTGAATGTAACTAGATTACATGATTATTCAATTCCATCGTCGTATTTATTGGTAAATAATTTTATATTCAATCTTGAGTAAATAAGAGACATTGCTAGGCATTCTCAGTTCCTTAAAACCATCCATTCGTTTCCGATTTTTCCCTACTGACATATCAAACATCATATACAATATTTTAGATGCATTGACGTAATAATTATAGGCGCCCAATAATAAATAGCAGCAGCTGCAATAACTTGTACATCATCCATATAGTTTCAATGTAAATGATAACTGACACCGACTAACGTGTGGGCAGCTACACAAAACTCATCTACAATGGCCGTTTGTAATGCTCTTTTTCAAACTTGTCGAGCGTGTAGACAGCAGCACTAGCTGTATATCAATTTGCTGCGCTCGCGTTGGCCTAGGCTCGACCAATATGTATTGCAAGAATACTTGTTTACTCTACAGCCAACAGTACAGCCAAATACTTCTAGAATGTTAATTGAAGTGCAAAATATGCAGACAACAAATGCCGTGACCCAGGTGAATGACAATTAATAATAGCAATATTATATCTGATTTTATTTATATCAATATTAATAATATTAAATTAATAAGTTTATTTATTTTATTTTTTTCTTTTTTTTTTTTTATTGTGACTCGGCAAAATGACTGCACCGCGCCTGATGAAAAGTGCGAATACAGTCCAGAGATGAGAGTAACGGATGGAAAACACAAATATCTTCACTCCGTCACTATCATTTTGCCGGTCTGGCCAAATGCTTCTTCACACTACGTTTGAAGAACCCGATGTTATAGAGGGGAGGGAATACATGCGCCGGGAGGATTTCAAAAATTAAATGGCAGTGTTAGATTCACCTAAATCTTAATCACTGATATTAATTCTATACCAATACATAAATACAAAACAGCTTAATCTATTTGGAAATCTTTAAAAAAAATCTAATATCAGTCTTAACATTATGTTAAACATTCAGTCTTTGGCATTTTCGAGACTCGAGATTGACGTTTTCAGTCTCGGGAGTATTGAGGCTTTTGAACTTTTTTTTTAAAAAGTCAATCAATCAATATATTTATCCGTCATCATAGGTCATTGCATGATAGGGTATACAGTCTTATTTAGCACAGCCATGATGCACCTCTTACAGAAGCATACGAAAATTTATGTCCAATCTAATCTTAATTTATGAAATATTAAATTGTACATTACAATGTCAATACTATACAATGTCAAAACAAATTTCAAATTAATTCTATTATGTAATATTCAATTAAAAGTATATGTACTATAATTCACACTATATTGTCATTCAAATATTCAACAACCGTGTAATAGCATTTTTTAATCAATAGCCTTGACAATTCCCTCCTGAACATATCCAAGGATAGGATTTTTAACCTTTGTGGCAGTTTGTTGCAGAGTTTAAGGGCGCTTTTTTTTAAGAGCTGTTTTACAAGAGATGGTGCCAGTGGTGAACATTTGAGGATTTCTAGAGCGTAGATTAAATCCCAGAACGACCGTTTTTCCATGTAAAGTTCGGGGTTAGATTTTAAAAATTTACATGATTCCAGTATGTACAAACTTGGGAACGTTAGCACTTTTAACCTTTTAAAGAGTTGTCGACAGCTGTCAGTAGATCTAAGGCCGCAAATAGATCGTAAACATCGCTTTTGAGCTCGTAAAACGATTTCCCTATACGAAGCGTTTTCCCAGAAAATTACTCCGTACCGTAGAGTCGATTCCACAAAACCATGGTATGCCAACATGACACTATGACGATTGTTGATTTTGGAAAGTCTGTAGAGAGCAAATGAGAATTTATACAATTTATTACACACGTGTATAGAGTCACTCTCCCAAGTCATATTACTGTCCATGTGTAGTCCCAGAAATTTATGCACTTTGACTTTTTCTACGCTGTGGTGGTTATAGCTTATGTTAAAATTTGGTGTCGCTTTTCTTTGGCTGAAGTGCATAATTTTGGTTTTACTTAAATAAATTTCTAGTCTATTGTGATTCATCCATTTAATTATGTCAATTAGAGATTTATTAATATTATATTCATAGTCGTAGCCATTCTTACAGTCTATCATTACGGTGCAGTCATCAGCAAAAAGAACCATTGGGTTTGTACTATATCTAGGCATGTCATTTAGTAGCACAAAAATAGTAGAGGTCCCAACACACTTCCCTGAGGCACTCCGCGCTCTACATTTTTCCACCCTGACACTTATTTTTCTTCAACCCCTGTCAAAATGTTTATCTGATTTAGTTCGATTCGTTGTTTTCTATTAGTCAAATATGATATATTTTGAACGTTACCTCTGATTCCATAATGGAACATTTTTTCTGTTAATATGCTGTGCTCTATGTTATCAAAGGCCTGAGTCATGTCCATATGTATAGCATAAAGTCATTCTTTTATCCTAGTCATATGGACATGGAAATATTCTAAGTGCAACGGACCTTAGTATATAATCTGTGGAGATTGCAAAACGGTAGTAACACAATCAGGATCCTCTCTATCAAATACTGTGTTAAACTTCCTTTGTTTCTTACGTACCCACCGCAAAAATTAAAAAATAACTATTTTTTTTTGAAATAGTATTTTTTCTACTCCTGTACTCTGTTAATGTCTGTATCTATTAATTATAATTCCATAAAACGTATTACAAAGGCGCTCATTTTAATTCTGAACCAAAATTCTATTCTATCTATGGTACTCGCTATTGAACTGAAAAGTTTGATATGTACGCACTCGGCACGGCAAAACCTCGTGGCCTTAAACACGGTACTAGACCTAAGTAATAGGTACGAGATTTCAAGACCTAATTATCTAATGCTTGCATACAATACTTTTAATACGAGGTAATTGAAATAATGAAAATGAAGCACTACCAATGTTTAAAGATTATTTTGTTAACAATCCACAACAAACTCAAACGAAAGCGATACAAACGCTACAAAACATTGACCAAGTACCTCTTATATACCAATCTTTTTTTTATAAAGGTTTATGGCCCGATTGCGAGACCTTTAAGCCAATTTAACCAATCAGGAGGCAGCAGAGCGTTTGCGTAGCGTCTTATTTGATATTTTAATTAGCAAAAACACGACACACTTTTTTTAAAACCCATTAAAGTCCTGTGTAAGTACAATGAAATTTTTCAGTTCATCATTCAATAGAATTTTGGTACAAAACTAAAAAGAGCGCCTTTGTGATATCGTTTATGAAATTATAATAGACTAATAATAATAATCTTTATTTATTTCTTCTTACAAAGGTGATCCTTATTTATACACAACATAATGAATTTAGACTTAATAAAAGAATCTAATTAAGATACCTTTGTAAGAGGCTGGAGTCTATACTAGGAATTAACCTGTGTG